CTACAGCTCAACAAGTCATACCCATTCTGTCTGCTCACAGAAGTTACCACAAGGCAGTATTTTTACAGACTACCAGCTGAATAACACTAATTGTATCACGCTAACTCCATTATAACTGACCAGTTTATTTGGAAGTGGGCTTAATTTCATTTCTGCATCATTACTGAAGTTATCAGATGATCCCAGGGAAGACGTTCAATTTCTTTGCAGTAGCACACAGTTATTGGAGAGCACTTGTGGCTGCTGGTGGGCCTCTGCCTTAAACTACTGCTTTAGGTAGTTTAAAAATTAATGTGTGCCACGTGCTGGATAGGCTGAAATCACTCATTTATTTCACGTTATCCTTTGTCAAAAAAAGTCAGCAACACGAGACACCAGAGCCTCATCTGCAATCTCAAACTCTTAAACGGAATGATTGGTTTGGTTAGTGTCAGAACAGGAGTTATATGGCAACGTGATGATAGACACACATTGTGGACAAAAGCTTTTAGCCTACAGTTATTAATAATATGCACTTCTAGAACAATGACTTTGCTTTGGATGCTCCACTGCATGCACATAAGGCGCGATGCATTCTTTGGTTCTGTGGCACTACCAGCTTTCTCCACTGTAACTTAACTACATCCAGAAAACACTGAGACTGGGGATTTGTTCTTTTACATTTATGAGAGCCAATCCTGCAGCTCACAGACGTGATTTAACTACTCTTCAGCAATCTCAAATTCCTAAGATAAAAATGGAGACCTCTCTTGTACAAGTCCATTTCTTCCCAGGGAGGAAAGGAAATAGGGAAACCTTTCAACATCTCCCTGTGTACAGGAAGGAGATTAGTTTGGCTCTCTGCTAAAGAACCTAAAACGAAGGATTATTTCAGAAGAACTCACAGCTTTGAAGATAATCAACTGCAATAACAAGATACGAGTTACAAAAAAATCCTTTTTCTTGAAAGCACTTTGGTAATAGTGCTTTTTAATAACCTTCTTAATGGCCGCATTAGAAGGACCCCAACTGAAGTCATTCATCCCACATAAAACAAACATTGCTTTTTCTTCTTAGCTGTGTTTTACAAGCTGCATTATTTCCAGATGACGCTGGAGGGGCCCAAGAGTTTCAAGAATTAATGCTTAAGCACACAGCTGCTTTCTATTTACCATGTAAATTGAGGATAAATCAAAGAGGAATCTAAATATTGGGCTTCATTTGGTCCATTACAGAGCACTGACTGAGGAGGATACGAAAAAGAAATAGAAAAATCTCATCACACAAATGCAAAGTTTACTTCTCGTTACTAAAACCAGGGAATCATAGACTCGCAGAATGGCCTGGGTTGCAAAGGAGCACAGTGCCCATCCAGTTCCAACCCCCTGCTGCGTGCAGGTCACCAACCAGCAGCCCAGGCTGCCCAGAGCCACATCCAGCCTGGCCCTGAATGCCTGCAGGGATGGGGCATCCACAGCCTCCTTGGGCAACCTGTTCCTGACGTGTGCAGAATTCCACGGCTCCATGTAACACTGCTCTGCTCAGCAGGTAACGTTAACGAGGTTGGGAAGGAGCCAGGGAAGGAATCACTGCACAACCACACACTGCTACTGCAAACACGGCTTGCTGCATCCACATTCTGCATGTTTTCCCTTTGGAAACACGCACTCGTTTCTATACCCAACTAACACAGAATCAACAAATTCGGGACAGAGTTTAAAGGATGGCTCTTCAGACATTTAGAGGAATGCGTTTGTGAGCACTATGGAAAGTCCAACTGCACTGCATTGCTTCCATTGCTGACAACTTTGTGAGTTGTGGTGTTTTAGAGATAGCCCTGTATGGGAAACAAAGATATCGGCACAAAATGGGTAATTGCTAGAATTTTTCCTTATTTCTTTTAGCTTCATCCGGATGGAGTTTGGGCTCCATTGCCACAAAGCCCCGGCTCCTGTGTTGTGTTAGACGATGCTGAAACAAGTGCAGAAACCTAATTAAAACTATGGTGCCCAATACACACCAAAGCCCCAAGGGATGATGCACGTCAAGCTATTTGAAACTGAAATTGTTCCTACCACTGACTTTTCCTCTTTCTTTTCTTTCTTTTCTTTACGCTCATGCCTTAAAAACTGAAATCGGGAGAAACCACTGATACACACACCTACGTAACTTTTCTTTATATGAAAAGAAGCAACATTCTCCTACTTTCCTTGTTAAGTTAAATTTTGTGGACTGTGCTTTCATTGAACCTAAAAAAGCCATAAACAAAATGGAGTGGATTCTTCTTTTTATTGGAGACTGGTGGAGATACTTAAGGACAGGGGAAACTTGACAGAAATGTATTCCACAGCTGTAGTTGTTGCTACGAAAATAAAGCTCTCGTCCTTCCTCTGACTTCTTCCTGCACATGAATTGCACTGCACACAGCTCATAGGGGCTTTCTGCCTCACAGACCATGAACTTGGTCTAGCCTTACAATGAAATAATTTGTCTTTTCTTACTAAAGCCCAGGAAACCTCAGCAAGAACAATCAGCTGGGTCAGTTCCTTATTGGGGTTCACAGCAAAAATACCCACAGCTTTGCTGTATGCCAGAGGGCTATGAAGAGGTGCAGTGCCATGAGGAGCTGCAGGGTCATGAGGGGCTGTAGGGCCAAGAGGGGCTCTAGGGCCAAGAGGTTTCCTCTCCCCTCCTCTCTTCCAGCCCACAGCATACACAAGACAACCCCAAGAAATATGGCGATGGGGGATCCCACATTTTTACAACTATCACAGATCAACAGGTATTAGGTCAAAAATCTTGCATTTACATTAAATAGCTAGCTATGGCAGAAACATCACTTCTGCTCAAACTGAGAAATTAGGATTTCTTTTGCTCTATGCTTGGACAGTGCTCAAATAGAGATAGAAAAAGAGAAAATCCTTCAGCCAACATAGAATCCAGGACTCCAGTCCATGATGTTATCTCAGTGTCCAGCTCCTTCGCTCCTCATGTTCCTTACAGCATTCTTGCAGTAATATAAATGCAAACAAACAACTGTTCTTACAAACAACATGAACACAAGCTTTCAGAAGCAGAATGTCCTTCAGCAAATGACATCTTGCTGCCAATGTTATTTAGACAACTGACAGTGCCTTACACTAAGTTGCCATGTGAGCAATTTGGAAAAAAGGCATGCATGGGAGCATGCATTTTTCTCCCAAAATACAGGCAGTAAACTTCTGTGATTTTATTATCCCCTAAAGCAACCTTTCCAGCTGCTGCCCTTCTCCTCCCCTGCCTCCTGCCCTACATCATAAAAAGGAGAAAGGGAGTTCTTCCTCAGCAGTGCTTCACAAAGGGAAGTTTTCAGCTGTATCCACCAGTGAGGGGATGGGCTGATGGTTGGACTTGATGATCTTAGTGGTCTTTTCCAACCTTAATGATTCTATGAAGTCTATGAAGTCAGTGTTAAAGGCATCTGCCCTATTCTCAAGATATCTGGACAGGACTTGGTTGACCAAAAGCTCACGGTGTCTCTGAGCTTGGTGACTGCAGACTCTTGTGTGACACTGCACAGAATGAAGTGAGCTTGGATGTGCAGCTATTAAAGCCATCGCCTCTACCAGCACAGCCTCCCTTTGCCTGGAAGCCCACAACTTTTCAGGGCAGATCAGTGAAGTGCCACGAGACCAAAGGAGGAGTCAGAATGCGCAGCAGTGTAATTGCTTGAGCTAGAAGCTGGCAGGAAATGGAGGTTAATCACCTCTGAGCAATGCAGCCCCAGAGCCTTATCAATCCCGGCAATCAGGAACACTGAACTCATCCCAAATATGTGACTCCTCACAGCTGTGGCCCTACATCATCAAATCCTCCTCAAGTTACCCACACGCACTGGGTAAGGGCATTCCCATGTTCATGCTGTTGCAGATGGAGGAGCTTTAAGCAGAGTGGGTCACCTTACAGGAGAAACAGCAGCGGCATCCCCTGCCCCAAACACAGAGCAGAGAGAGGGTCTTGCTGAGACCAAAGCTGCTGACAAATGGAGGGTCAGCTCGTGGGACAAGAACCACAGCCCTGCAATCAGCAGTGCTGCAAGGAGCTCCGTGTGAATTAAGGCATCATCATGCAGACAGAATACACTGATCTGCTCCATGAATTACAGAATGCTTCCAGTTTTCATGGTAGTGTCAGCAACAGCAACTAGACGACAGAGGTTAAGAAACCTGGGTAGTTAAACTCATGTTATCAAACTGGAGTTTTGAGAACTCTAGTTACTGATGTAATTTTACATCAAATTACCTTTCTTGGTACTCATGTGCTAGAGCACTATGATACGTCATGTATCAGAGAGCCATGTCCTGGAATACAAGTCAACATCCGAAATAAAAAAGCTGTTGCATTTTCAACCTCAAAAATTGGGAGCAACCGATAGAACAGGACAACTCTTTTAGACAGTATTACAGAGAAACTTCAAAGGAGTAGAAACCAAAGACACTTGGGTAATACAAAAAAATATTATTTGGATCCTTGGAAGAACCCTCGTTCCACTGAAGGTAGAGATTTTCCAAAAGCCCATGCAATTAAATCACAGAGTTGTTGCCTATTCGTGGCACTGGCTTAGCAAACTGAAAGGAGTGCTGTATGCATACAGTGCCTAGAACATACTGATGTGGCCCATGGATGCAGTATCCATCAGGGGCTCACCGGGAATTTTCAACCATTTTCAGGCATTTTAACACACTGTAGATGCCAAAGCCTTGTTCTTAAAAATGTTTCTAACTGTATGATTTTAATACCCTTCAATATAAGCAGCTTGAAAACTCCACACTGACAGGGTGTCTCCCAGCTCTCAGGAGCTGCTGTTTTGTTTTGCCATTTGTGTCTTTTTTTTTTCAGACATTACATCATTTATGCAGGTTCTTGTGCGTTGGAGTTAGTGGTTACTGAGCTGTCACACGTTTTGATAAATCTTTGCAGATTTATGGTTGTACCTCTCATATTTTGGAGCATCTACTGCAACAGTGAAGCTCGATACTTACATAGTCAGGAAGTGGAGACTCATTGGAATCCAGGGAACCTCTCAAGGACTGCGTGGCTTGTTCCAGCACTTTGTTGTGCTTTTTAGACAGCAGAGAAAATAAACTGGAGGAGAAAGAAAAAAAGAAACATTGACATAAAGTCACAATAATGGTCTGAAATAGACAAAGCAATCAGAAGAGGTGGTCTACTACGCGCTCTAACGTGAATGTGGAGAGTTTTTAAACACATGTATAATAGTTACATGTATTATCTATATAGACACATCTGAGTTAAGCAGCAGTGGAATTCGAACTGGAGCTATTCTATAAAATAAATTATATAAAGACCATCATATGTTTACTAATACATACTGTTTTCAAATTCATCTCGGCTTAAGTTCAGGAACAAAGCATTACATAGCTTTATAAATAACCTGTGGCAAATCAGAGGTCCATACGCACACAGAGAAATAAATGTTATTTCATGCATCATGAAAAAAACAACACTCGTAGCAATGGCCTTTTTCCAAATCCTACTTGTTTGACTTCATAAGCATTCCCACGTCGTTGAGATGGACAAGACAGAACCGAATACTCAGAATCAAAGGTGAGCATTCAGGACCTCATCGGGCTCTCCTAGGAGTACTCTATGGGTTCTCTGAGGATTTAAAAACTGTTCTGATGAAAATAAAAGCAACCACCAACAACATTTATTCATGCCCAAAAGTGCATTGCTCCATGGGGGTTGGTGACATTACTCTTGGGACACGGCATCAGCAGCAGACTCTGTGCTCACCAGATTCAGTTAGAAAGGATTCAAGTCAGTATGATAAATAAAGTGGCTAATTACTGCCTCAGTGTGATACTCCTGACAGCCACTGCCTCTTTGAACAGGAGGACAACTTCAGTGCTCTCAGAAAGCTTTTCTGCTTAAAGAAATGATGGTAAGGATTTGAGGAAGCCCTCTGTTTTCAACTTCAAATATAACACTGATGTCAAGACCCTTGCAGCCTTAGGCAGGAGATACTGATAGCAGATCACAGTGCTTGTTCTCCCTCCTTGCCAGCCAAGAGTTAGAGGAGAAAGCTTTTCCAGCACTTCTCAGAGGAAATACCTTGCTTCTGAAGCCCAGATCTTCTACCTTGAGAGGCAACTCAATAAATTCCACCATTTCTTGACACCTTTTCAGTCAGACACTTCTTAGAGCAGAATAACAGCCTGCAGCACTGAAGACATCCCACTAACCCCCACAGGAGCCCTTTGGGGTGTCACATCATCCCCAAGTTCAGCCAACGTCTCCTAGGGCCAGGAACAGCTGACCAGTGACGTTGGTGGTAAACCCTGCTGGGATGGTGATAAGCTCAGCTGGACTGATAGGGAAGGAATGCCCAGTGACATTACAGAACAAGTGTGTAAGGGCTGAGAAACATTTGGTGTTGTTAGGATAACGTGATGTACTTGACCTCATGAACGCTGGAATCGTAGTTTTTCCTTCATGCTGTCTAAGAAAGCCCTCACCAGAGGAATAAATCAAATGATGGAAACCTCGAATGATGGATTCCTGGAATCACAGAATCCTAGAATGGTTGTGTTGGAATACCTGGGACAAAAGTCAGCCCTCCACTAATTCACAACTATTAGCCAAAATCACCAACTACAAATGAAACAGGGAAGAAGCAATGCAGAAGTAACTCAATAACAGGATTTCCATCTTCTATTGCATTCAACTATTGCATTCACAGACTGAAATGCTTGCTCTAATCAAAATCTGGATTTGCAGACCCGTCCCTCCGCTGCACAGCAGTGCTGCTTTTAGGTAGGCTCAGATTTCAGAGATGCTACCATCAGCACCATCTAGTGCTGTGGAGATGGAACAATCAGTTAAAGCCAACCTGGTGATGCTCACTGGGGATGCAGCAAGGTTAAACCTGGGGTCTGTCTGCTCCAGAAGCTTATTCCTCAAAAAAGACGATGACAGACTTGTATGAAAAAGGATGTCCAGCAAGCAGCATTTTTCACCAAAACGAATAAAGCGTTTTGGCTTTGCGTGCAATGTAGATATAAAACAAAACACTGGCATCAGATTTTGAATATTCAGTCAATCTGACGAGAAGAATGCTCACACATCAGTAGTCTGCATTGAACTGGAACAACAAAGAGCAAATTCATCTTCTCTGGCAGAATGAAGAAAAATGGGAAAAAGAAGGAGAAAGAAACAAAGAACAGTTCTTTATATCTTATTTTTGCTTCTTTTTTTTTTTTTTAATTAAGTGCAATGTCAGTAAACCCTGAGTGGCTGGGCTCTACGTCTGAGCAGTGAGGGGGTGAGCTCTGCTATACATTGTCTTTGCTCTGGGGCTTCCCCTTGCCAAGTTTTGCTTTCTTGCCACAGCTCATTGACTTTGCAGCTGTGCTGAAGCACTTCTTTGTGGGAACGTCGCCCAGAATGCCAATATTGGGGTTAAAATAGCCAGTCTTCTTCCTCACCAATGGCTTATCCTTTGGAGAGAGCACCCCAACATGTTTATCAAGTATCAGCACAGCATTACTTAGAGCCACCAGAAGTCATTTCACAAAGTTTAACTCATGGAGGTCTCTGATCATGGTCAAACGTTGCCTTCTAAAGACTTGGTTTGTGACGGTCACATCCTCAGTGTATGGAAGGCTTAGGGGTTATTTTTGATCATTAAGGCATGAAAAATGGAATTAAAAACTGGAAAAAACGCTTTACGTAAGATCAAATTGTTCTCCTCCCCATTATTGGGTAAGTGGGAAACCAGTGGCAATTCATGCACAGGTGGGCATTAACGTCTCCAAAGCTGGTACAGATCCCAGATCAGCAAATCGCATTGTGGGGAAGCTGAGCCAACAAGGACGACTTTGAGCTGAAGGAAAACCTCAACACAGAGTCACAGAATCATTCAGGTTGGGAACGGCTTACGAGGTCCCCAACCCTGACTCACCCCACCATGCCCACTGACCATGTCCCCAAGTGCCACATCCCCATGGTTCTTGAACGTCTCGTTCTTCTGATCTTGGGAATTATGAAACCACTGATTTCTTAACTCCTTCTACAAAGATGAAACATTTCTAGTTAATTTAACACAAGGCTGAACCTCACCCACTAAGTGATTACAGACTTAATAGTAATGGCTGCTTAAATGCAAGTGATTTGATTATGTGCTATTTGCACACACAATAAAATTCAAACCAGTAATATATGAACTTAACACTTTCAAAAAGTCAGTTCCAAGCAGCCTGTGGATTCAAAAAATGCAAATAATGGGAACTCACTGAACAGCTTTCCTCTTGGTCCAGCAAAGCCACAAGCCAACAATCAATAAAAAATCCTAAGCATCTGCAATTTCTGCAGCAAATCTAATTTACAGCAGATTGAAGTGGCTTACAAACTCTGTTTCTCACGTATATAAAAAAAATTGCATGAATGTATAAAATGAAGCTTTTAAAACAGTTAATAAAAGATAACGGAATTAAACTTTAAGGTTCAAGGTAAATCTGAAGACAGTATTTGCCAGAAATTGGCTCAAGGAGGGAAAAGAAACAAAAATGATGATTAAGTTTAAATACCATGATATTTTAATGCATATAAAGGACAAAATAAACAGACTATTATTACTGCGTTAGCAGTCGAAAACAACAGATCTCTAAAGAACAATGCCAAAAAAAAGGGCATATGTCCCTTAATCGCTTCCATTACACAAAGAACAAAAGGTCATACGCATTCAGAAATGGCAAGCAAGTTATTTGCAGCAAAACAGTGACAGAACAGCTCATAAAGCCAGACAATTAAGCAGACGGTCCTGTTAACTCCAAAATACAGGAGTAAAGCAAAATGTGCTGTAGATCTCCTTGAGGCCTCCCACTAATTATAGTTTTAAGCAGGAGGGAGAGCCACTTCTTTACATGGTTTGATAGTACAGGACAAGGATGAATGGCTTTAAACTAAAAGAGGGGAGATGTGCAGCTCCCACAGCGGGGTGTTGGAAACAGGGGATCTCTGAGGTCCTCTGCACCCAAGGTTAGTCTGTGATTCTGTGCCCCAACACAACTACGTGCGAGTGCATAATAATGGAACAGCAGTCATGAGATTCATTCTAAACAGGCCTTGCCAAGCTCATTCAGCAACGAGACCAGAAATAAAATACAGCGAGACAATGCCGTTATTGAAGCAGGTTTCTACATGTCACTTTCATGACTTTGTTCCACGTGGGATTTTTCATTAAGAAACCAGATTGACAAAAAGCAATATGGCATGTTTTAAACAAAGGGGAAATCAGACACCTGAATACTCTGAAAAATCCCCAAGTTTCCATCTTTAAATAAGTTTTCCCAGTTGGGTTACATTCTTGGCCCCTCTACCTGCCAGCAGCCACTGAAGGTTTGCCAGTGTTGCTGAAATACAATGAGATGGAGATGATATCATTGGTACACATCAATGATAAAGAAATACTAAGGCTGAACTTTGTAAATTCATTGTAGGAACTTCAGATAAAGGGAAAAGAACATTGGGGTTTTTTTTTTGTTTGTTTTTTGCTTTTTAATTTTTATTTCTTGTCTTTCAATCACAGAATCATTGAGGTTGGAAAAGTTCACTAAGATCATAAATTCTAAGCCAGCACCAGAGGAATTACAGACCAGGAGGAGGAATTAATTGCACAAAGTTCCTTTGGTCTGTGGTACGATGGAGGTCAGACAGCATGAGCCAAGTGGTCTCTTTTGGATCAGAGAACACATGCATTTAGGTAATGCCCTACACATTGCTGCATTAGAAGAGATGGAAAGAATCTGATCTGATGAAAAATCAGGTCAAGCACCAGCAGGTGCTCAGAGAGGTGGTGGAATCCCCATCACTGGAGATGTTCAAGGGCCATGGAGATGTGGCATGTGGGGACGTGGCCAGTGGGCATGGTGGGGGAGAGTTGGGGATTTGGGAGGTTTTTTCCAACCTTTATGAGTGTAAAGTCCTACAAAACCCTTTTGGGAAAAATTTCAAACCAGTGACACGTGCTTGGCATACGGATCTGTGGCAGAGATGACCCATTTGGTGGCTCAGGATTACAACAGATCAGAGCTCCCACTGCTCAGAAAACATCAGATATCTGC